TATACACACACACACACACACACACACACACACACATACGCGCACACACGCACACACGCACACATACACACACGCATAATATATATATATATATATATTATCAGGAGTGAATAATAATAGATTATGATATTATGTATGCATAATATACAGTCAAGATGCTTATGCGCTAGTATAGGGACGCTGGGGGCTGTAAAGTTGCTGAGGTGTGTAATATCTATATATATAGTGTTTCCCGTTGCGTCAGGTCGCGCCGCGTATTATGCTGCCTTCTGCTCATCTATTATTGAACGAGTCGGGTGCAATTACGCGCTCGGCCATGATTAATTGTCGCTCGCAGTGTATAAACAATGCGCGATGTTGAGGCGTTGCGTTGATAAACAGTGACAATCGCCGCGCACTCTCATCATCTCCTTGTGTCTCCCTCTGTCTCGCAGGTCAGAGTTGACGATGGTTCTAATGGCACTGGCGAAACGCGGGGCGGAAGAGGCGGCAGCGGGCAAGCCACCCCAGCCAGCCGCCAGCAGCTAAGCATTTGGAGCGACCCCCCCGTAGCAGGACGACCCCCCCCTTACGCCACGCACTCTCTACACCGAGCAGACGAAACGGGAGTTTACTTATTAGCAGCTAAGGCGGTGCGGCTCTGCCGGAGGACGCGTGCGCAGACACAGAGACGGCGCACACGTAAAGCGCACACACGACTTCTTCGCCTCGGTTTCGAAAGTTGGAGAATCGGCAGTTGGGAGGTTTGTGTCGGAGAGGATTGTCGTATATTCGCGCGGTATATTCTGCTACTGGTTCTCGGAGCGCGTGCGCATCTTTTTAATTGCAGTTTAGGTTTTCGGCCACCGATGCGTGTCGCTAGTATTAGCAGACGATAGAGGCTCGCGGGGTTGTCGCGTTCTCAGCTGTCAACGCGAGAGAGCCGGACAGCGTTGGCTTGCCGCGCGATCCTTTGCTCTTGCTACGGTATTTTTTTTCGTGCGTGTGTTCGGCACGGACCAATGAATATACACGAAACTTCTCCTTTCATTCCAGAGCCTCTAAGATAGGCGTTGCCTTAAATGTATTGAAGCCATTCGGTTATAGGTATGTGTGTGTGTTCGTGTCTCTAACAAAAATGTACAAAAGTTCCACGAAACTGTGACGTGTTTATTTATATATATATATAGGAGGTAGTTGAACTAGCGAACGTAAAACCTTACATCCATCCGCGCGTCATGTTAATCATTGCACAGATTTAGGCGATGTATAATATAGTTTATGCTCGCATGCTTCTTTATATCTTGCTTGCGATTCGTCATGGTTCCTCAACGAAAACTTGCGTATGGCTGGAAGCATTGTGTGGGGTTGCCAGCGCAATGATCGATCATATATATGTCACAAAGAACGGAAAGTGAGTCGCTTTTCTCGATCCAAGATATCCTATATTTGCTGACGTATGAGAAAAAGAAAGAAAAAAAAAGAGAGAGAGAGAGAGAGAGAGAGAGAGAGAGGGTAGGGTGATACATTGTGTGAAAAAGAGAGAGCGCGATCAAGAAAAAGAGACAGGCAGACAGAGAGTGAGAGAAAGGGAGAGGGAGGACGAGAGAGAGAGAGAGAGAGAGGGGGCGGAAGAGAGAGAGAGAGGGGGAGGTAGAAGGGGGAAGGAGCGAGGTGGAGGTATTCCACACAAAATTCCCTTCGAGAGATGAAGAAATGACGATTGCTTTTTTGTTTATCGTGTGATCAGGATTTTTCTCTTACGCCGACTAACTC